ACCACCTACTACAATGCATCCTGTATAAACTTATATACCAGTGGGCCTTGGGGCACTGTGTGGAGACATGACCACAGCTGGGTGACAAATGAGGAAGCGCCAATGAGTCACACACACACACACACACACACACCCCTGGCAGGTCGGCCTGTTATCCATTAATGAAATCATGCATGGGAGCTAGAAGTGTCAACAGCAAATCTGCTGGAGTTTCAAAGTAACACAAAACACCCACTCGCTGCACTAAGTAGAGGACATTTCAGGAAAACTACACCCAAAGCTTGTGGAAGCAATCGTTGACTTGTTTTAGGTGCCTCAATTTCAGGACACCCACAAGGGGACCGACTTTGAGGGCGAGAGCATGCATAGTTACTGAGTGTGTCACGTACACACAGAGCACACAGCTACCTCAGTCAAGCTGCAATTATTATTTATTATTAGCAGTGAATAATCCAACACGACTCTTGGAAGGCCCCCAAGGGGATCATATTAGCGCTACAACAGCCACCCACGACTAACACCCTCATGCTGCAAAGAAAGATGGCAGTCTCTCCACGCACATACCAAAGAATCCTTCACACCCTTCAGGGCAAACCAAAGGCAGCTCTGCCAAAAACTTCCCTTGCAGAGCCAAGGTTTTAGACTGCATGTGCCTTAGTTTCAAGAGGCAAAGCTGAGTATCAACATAGCATAAGCTGGGAGTATGGCAACTCAGCTCAGGCTCTGAAAGTAATTTCTAGTAGGTGAAAGTGGGTGCACATATACACACGACCGCTTGTGCCAGCAAAGGTCACCACCACTACTCTGATCAAAAGAACAGGGCTGGTTGCCAATCATGACTGACGCAAGACAGCTGTACTTTAAATCATGCTGCACTTTAAATCAATGGAACATCACCTTATTGGATGCCACATTGCAAGTGGTGCACGTAGCGTGGTTGCCATTCATGAACGTAACAGTGGTGCTGCCTGAGAACCACTGTGGAGGCCAGGACAAGATTTCTGTCACTCTAATCCTTCCTCTCGCACTGCAGCAGTTATAGGCGATCTATTCTATCTGCCTCACATTCCCCATCTATGAAGCTGAGACAATACCTCTCTCTCTCACTGCAGGGATTCTGGGAAGTTGAAATATTTGTGGATTGCTTAGATATCACAAGGGACAAATGCTGTGCATAAGATGCCCATATAGTGGTTTCTTTACCACTGGGAAGACAGGCTGGACCTATGCTAATTTTGTTTTGCCCCATCAGTGCACTGCAGGCTGTGCAGATGTGAAGGAGCCCATTAAAACAAGCATTTCTGAACTGAAACAGACTTGCCTTCTGAGGAAGTTCTTAACACCGAGGGAAAAGGGAGACCTTAGTGCCTACAGCAGGTGGCAAAGCAAGCAGGGGAGGGGAAGGATTGGGATCTAACTGAACTAAGCAGAGCAAGAGTGAGTGAATGCCTTCCACAAAAGGCTTGAGAACACAATGGAGAGCTCTGGATAAAAGCTATTGTAGATGACAAGTTATCTTAAACAAACTAAAAGAAATAGTACAACCCATTTACTTCTTGAGATCAGTCTTCAGCAAAGGCTCAGCTGACTGTGTACCAGGCCCTGAGGGTAGAAATTATCACCGCCACGCTGAGTCAAACAAACTCTTCTGGTCTTACCCCTTCTTGCCTTTCAAGCCTGTGGGGCACGGACCAATACACATGGCACTAAAACACATTGGTGTCTGGAGCAGACTACACTGTCAGTCAAGATGTAGCAAAGGATGCAAAGGCTTCATGTCAGGAAGCAAAGGACACTGGACTGGAACCAAAGGAAAGCATGGTGGTGTCAGAGAGTCCTTGTGGCTACCAAGCCTGCTTAGCTTTCCCAGTCACAGCAGAATCTTTCATCACAAACCAATGGGTTCAACAGGGTCCACTGATATAAAACTTCCCTCTTCTGCCAAAACCACTGGGTGAAATCAAATCTAAAACCTGTCCTTTACAAGACGGATTGTAAATTCTTACCCCTCAAAAAAATCTGTGAAGTTCTATTAATCTGACAAACCTAAGTAGATTTTAAGATCAGTCTTGGTCCACAAAAGTAGCACCCAATCTGTCCTGAATTACCCTTAATGGCCCGTGGCAACAGACATACCACTAGTGTTGCACTGCCACTCAGTAGTCCTACCTAGGATCATGGGCACGTGGCATGCGGTCCAGACCTTCTCTTCACCACAAACCAGACATCCCAACAGCAAGTTGTTATGCCCCCTTCATCATAAGCAGGTGTTTTGGGGGACTGAAGACGTCCAATCTCAATGTTGATGGGATAAGTAAAAACACCTTTTTGTTTTCCTATTATCAAGATGATGTCTTGTCACAGTGACGGCCTCTTAGAACTTAAATTCATACAAGTATCATAGATCTTAGAAGCCAGTTTCTGATAGTAGGGTGGCAGAAGGGTGCCTTATAGGATTTTTTGATAAAACGGCTGCCATCTCTAACAGCATCACCTCTGGAACACTGCTTTCATGAACTCGTTGTGTCCAAAAAGGGGTTCATGAAAACTGGTGAAATCCCAGAACCAAAAAAACTTGGAATAGGGTAAGGTAAAGAGTTTCATAAGATACCCTGAGCGTTCATCATCAAAAATATACAACCCTTAAGTGCTGAGCTCTATATTAAGCTGGATTTCTTATCAAGAGCTTCTGTGATCAAGACATTCTGAAGATAGATAATCCTCTTCATTAGATGCCATGGAACAAAGGCTGCTGGATAAAAACTATGCATGTCGAGCAACACTGCGACGCTACAGTAATCTTCAGCCAGGGCTGCTCTTACCCAGTTTCGAAGTGGGAAGCAGGGAGTAGTGCAAAGATAAAAAGAATAACAGAACATAACAGGGTGGATTTGCTAGTAAATTCATTCTCCGCTCAGCCCAGAGCTCTCTACAAAGATTTCACCAATTAGCCTGCCAACCAACTCTTTTTTCTATAGAAGGGAACCTTTAACAAACAACAGAAAGAGATACAAGTGCTAGTCAACAAAATCAAAGGAATACTCACAGTCCCTCTGTTGAGGCAGAGTTTAGACAAACCTTGAAATTCCAAGTGAAGTGGGAAGCCACCTCGACATGGGCAAAAATAGAGTGTAGGCCAGTTTTAGAAAGCCAACTCATGCTGATCTTGTGATTATGCTTCTGGAGCCCTCAGGAGATTGCAAGTATGTGAGACATTGAACTGGTTCCTTAATTGCTTTCTGCCTCCAATCATCACCTCTAAGAATGGCACAGCATAGGCCAGCATTTCTCAACCTGTGGGTCATGACCCAAGTGGGTTGCAAGAATATTTTGAAAGGGTCGCAAACAAACTTTAAAAGTGGATAAACAGACTTTAAAAATGCAGAAAAACATGGGAAACTGTGGCTTTTCCCTTGCAAGCTAGCACAGTTCCAGCCTGCAAGGGACTGATTGGGGCCCCCCTGCCCCCACGTTGGGGGGCTGGGGGCAAGGGGGCTGGAGTGAGGCGCACTGGGTCAGGACTGGCTATTGATGTTTACAAATGGATTCTGTTACAAAAAAGATTGAGGATCACTGACCTAGGCCATGTAAGAGCCTAGAGAAAAATCAGGCTTTTCTACTCCATTGATGTAAGACATACAACCACCCAGGTGACACTTGGCCAAAGGGCTTTGCAAAGCACTGCCTCTCCCTGCATCTCTTCTCCCCTTCACCACCCTCACACATGCCATTTTTCCTTCCACCTCTCTGCCTTGCTGGACTGTCTCCTTATCAATCATGAAGCTGAAGTTGGTTCCTTATCCTCAGTTATTCCTGGTCTCCATATCATACCCCACACCTTCTCCCTTCATCTGGTTCCTACAACACCCACCCCTCTGCCACTGACACCCTCTGCAAGACACCTTGCTCTTTCCCTTTAGGTCTCTTCTTTGACCTCCCCCTCCCTCCCACTAACAACTACCCTCTCAGGCTCCTGTGCCTCAAAGGCTCCTAATGATACAGGTATGGAGTGCAACGTGCTCCCAGCCCTTACTCCTATGAAGCCTTGGTCTGGGGCTAGAAAGAAAAAGTCCTGCTTCTCAACAAATAAAAGGTGATGCCATGTTCCCATAGATCCCCACTAGTATCAGAGAGGACCCCTCCCCCCCCAAGAAAAAAATTGATTCGACTGGAGGTGAGGTCCTTTGACTACAAGCTCTTCCAGGCAGGGGCCTTTTCTGATGAGCTGAGACAGATCCAAACACACTTTTTTAAAGTTCTGGTTTCTCAAGAACATCACAAATGCCGCCTGGCAATGATCCACGGCCTTCTCAAAGGCACCACCTCAGTGCTGCTCTGGGGCTTCAGGATATGACCTGTACTAAGCTGGGAAGTATTATTTCTGGAAAATATTTTTTTTTGTTGCAATTTCTCAGTTGGTCTAATAAAAGGTGTCATTTTGGAACCAAGACTTCTAGATGTTTGCATTTCTTCTAAGCAGGGAAGCAAACGTTTTGGGGGAGATCGATTTACAGGCAGGGGGGGCTTATGTCTCAACTTTTGCAATTCAAAGGCTTGAGACTAATGCAGCGTCAGCCCAAACCCAAGTGGTTTTGCATTTCTTTGCATCCCTTCCCAAAAACCAAAGGAAAAACCTGGGACCAAGCCAGCAATTTGGGGGGGGGCTGTTGGGGGAAGAATGGAAGAGTTTCAGCTCCCCTCCCCCTCACACGCACACATTCACTCCACATCTAAACAAGAGGCGAGGTGGGTGGCAGGGTCATGCCTACAGCACAGCAACCAGCTTCTCTCTACAGATGCCCCCATCCCTAACACGGGGCAACCCCCTGCTGTCTGGCCCCACCGACCTCAGGCCCATCCAACCTCCCCTACAAAGTCCAGGGCTGTGGGGGAAGAGGGGAGGGCTTCCTTTGTTGTTGCTGCTGCTGCGCCAGGTGGGCTTCCTCCCTCCCCCCACACACACACAAGAGGATCAGGGGGTTCCTGGCACTGCTCTTTACCTTTGCCAAGCGCTCCGGGTGCCAAGGAAGGGCTGGGGCAGGGCAGAGCAGTACCAAGCCTCTTACCCTCAGAGCTGCAGCGAAAGTGAAAACAGCCCTAGAGCCCTGCTCTGCAGCCGCCTCTCCAAACCCCTCCCCGTCCCCAGTTCCTTCGTGTTTAACTGTTTGAATCAACTCAGATCCAGAGACGCCTAGTGGGAGACGGTGACTATTACCCCCAGCCTCAGCCAGGCGCACACAGACCTAGGGGGCTGCTCAGAGCAGAGCAGTGGTTCTCGTCTTTCAAGCTTCAGCTCCCTCTGTGCAAAAATAAAGTTGATTTCCTACTTATGGGGACTTTTTACCATCTTGAACTTTGCCTGAGCCTGACAAAGGGCGTGTGAGTCCGAAAGCTTGCAGAAAAATACATGCAAACAAGGTTCTTTGGGTGAATCCGGTATCTTTTATTAGACCAACTTAAATAGTTGGGGGGGGGGG